GATATTACCATTTTTAACCACCCCTATTTATTTATTTTTTTTTTTTTGACAGAGCTTTTACCAAAAGATGGTGGTTCGGATAAGACGACCCGATTCCTTTTGAAACTTGTCTACATGTTATTTGACTATATCTACAAGCAGAGCTGCCGCACGAACAAAGTGCTTGATTTCCACCTGCCGCACCAGTTACTGGAAATGATGGATCACTGTCTGCACGTGGATTCTGAACCACGAGACTTGGAACAAATTCTGAGCGACTGTAAAGAAACCTTACGATATTGCGTCAGAACAGGTAAGATATTCATAGAAAAAAATTACATAACAAACAACAAGTGAAATAATCCGTTTTTCGTTCGTATTTAAATAAATCTATATTGAAAATTCTTTAAATAAAATATGTTCAGTACTGTATCGAAAAATCTTTGTGCGCTTGCTTTATATTTTCAAATGTGAAAATATAACTGCCCTATACAAATATTTTGACTATTGTACAAAACATTTCCCCCCATATAGAAAAAATACATGTTATTTTTTAATCTAACATTTTTTATTTCTTCAAACGTTATTTTTTCGGAAGACTTAAAGAAAATGTGCCCTCCGGGAGGATTAAAATATACGGAGCGTCTATTCAAATACGGGTATCCAATAAAATTACGTTTGAAGTAATATAACTTATATATATATATATATATATATGTATATATAATTGATAAGTGTTTCCGCACTCTTACCACGTACAGTATAGAGAACACTACGTTTATATTTCCATCTTTTGATGGCTGAAAATTGCTTTTGTGCATCAAACTGACAGTTGCGGAAAAGGTGGGAGAGCGAAAACATCATTATATTACATTTTAAGGGTCTGTATATTTTGCGTTTTATATTTCACATTGAACTCATTTCATTTACTACATGTGCACATTATATATATATATATATATATATATATATATATATATATATATATATATATATATATATATATATATATATATATTGCTGTATAGAAAAATAAGATTTGGAAAAAACACCTAATATTTATATGTAACATTTATAATACATGTATTTTTTTTACAGAGAAATATTAAAATCAAAATTGTTTTACTTATATTTGGTTTTTCAGAAAAAATGTTTTAGCTTAACCGGTTTCGCTTTTAGCTTTTCAAAAAGTTTGTAAATGTTTATATTCCCACTTGTTGAGGCTTATGACTTGAAGAAATGAATAAAATCAAGGAGCGTGGGTGGTTTTATATGTTGCTTATGGTAAGGAAAATATAATAGAATCTATTTTCAGGGGCGTGCCTATGATTTATGCAATGAATTGTGTATTGGTTTAAACTTGTTGATAAGAAATGTTTATCAGCAAGTTTAAACCAATAAAAATGTTTATCAGCAAGTTTAAACCAATAAAATTCCCGGGATCGGGCATTCCACAAAGCTTTAGTTTCCTACCCGAAGGAAGAAACACAACAGTCTGCTCTCGAATTGGTGTTTACCCGCTCCCACCCGATGTGGCGCAAGGCCGGTTTAAAGTGAGGAGCCCAAGCGCGTGCACATGGGGTAAGGTCCCAAACTGTCCGGTCTCCGCAACCAACGTTGTGCTGATATTCCGCAACGCTTTGGTGTAATGAGGAAGGTGCTGCCGCGGTCTTGAAATCCCCAGAACCAAGCATCCTTCAAAGTTTTACGAACCAAGGAACTGTCTTGTGCGTGTCTCAAGTATAGGGAAGACATTTGCATGGACGACAGATGGACGCTTCCGAATACTTGTCGGCTATTTTCGCTGCCCGCCGCAATTGTAGCCGCTTTACCTTGCTATACTATTGCCTGGTCTCCTGACAATAACATCAACAGATCGAGAGCGCTCTTTTTAACCGGGTACCTCTTGGAAGCGGAGGCATGGGAGACTTCCTGGTATGTTCCCAAGAGGTCGTCGCTATAATTATCACCCGAATGGTCATCATCGTCATCATCCACTAAAGGCAGGCAGATTTCATCTAACGCTAACGGCGAACCAATTTTAAGTTCCTGATGAGAATTTAGGTTTCCTTTGCACTCATGCCTTTAGGAAAGGCTATTCTCTTCCCAGCTATGGATTAAATAGCAGTGCAGTCTGTACTCTTTTTGACTTTCGTTGACAACTTATCAAGGAGGACAACACTGAATTTCCAAACCCAGTTGGATGGAACTCGTTAGCATGGAAACATGGGGAAGGAAAATCCCAATAGAAAAGGAACTTTTTCTCAAGGTACAGAGGTTGGACGTAGGTTCAATCACCCAACCCTGTGGAATAATTCGATTGCAGAAGCCTTATGTGTCACAAGGCATCAGGAATATAAACAGGACATGACGGTAGCAATTATAACCATCGCTTTTGGAACGCATGGAATAGCTCCAAAGAGCTTTAAATATAACTAGACGACCCGTTGGGTCATTGACAGTTCAGGTTATAAAACATTGAAGTTGATTTCAACATTAAAATATTGTCTGTTTGAAGAAAGTTGAAATAAAAAAAAATATTTACTGTATAAACTCGTATTTTTAAATCTTATTCACTTAAAATATTTTTAAATCACATTAACGTAAAAATATATTTTTAATATGCCAAAAAATATTTTAAAATCATATTCACTTGAAAATATTTTTTTAGATATGATAAAAATGTTTTTTTAATATTTAAAATATTGTTTGTTTAAAGAAAGTAGAAATATAAATAAGCACGCACGAAATCTCAGAAGTGGAAAGAGAGAAGTGAAGAGAGAGAGAGGTGAAAAGCAGGCATAAATGTCACCATTTATGTCCACAATCCGGATCAGTCACCATTTCCTTCTCTCCACCACTTCCTACACGATAATAAATTTACATCATTCTTTCAACCACTCTCTATATATGACTTCTAGCAAACACACAAGCATACAAAGTTCACGGGGTTTTATAATAATAAAGATGGAGATCTGAGGATGAATTGAAGTCATCCAACCGACGGAGTGCTAAAATATTGAAAAAACATTGCTGTCATTTGATCTCTAATATAAGCTGTTATTACTGGGATGAACAGTGTGTAGAAATAAAGATAACACTTGCGCACATCAGTAGCAAAAGGCTAACGATTGAAACTATCCGGCTAAAATGAGCAAGGACATCAATGAAAGTGCTAGAATATTGAAGAGACTTTATGTCACTTGATCTCCAAGAAGAGCTAGCAGATGTTGTAGGAAAAAAAAGGTAAATAAATAACAATAATACTCACTGAAGCGCGGAAATTCTATGGGTGTTGATACGATTATCCAATTTCTCATGCTTCTGTTGTTCTCTCACCTTTTGCTTGTAGCTCCTCTCTCCCTCCCAATACAACTAAGATTATCCATTGTCCCTGCTCTCCTCCCACCTATTACCTGTGTTTTTATTCTCTTTCTTATCCCTTCCAATACAGATAAGATTATCCATTATCTCATGCTTCTGCTTATCTTCCAACCTTTACCTGCATAATTATATTCTTTATTCTTTACTAATCTATATTGCCCTCGCCCATGTTTTTATTTAAATGTTATAAAAACAGATTACTTTCATATGTTTAAAAAGAAATAAAATATAAAATAAAAATAATAAAAAAAATTCTACTGTATCCTCTCGTTTGTCTCTCCTTTGCTTTATCGCTATAAATTTGTAATGCATTCTAATTTTGATTAATTTTTATCCCTATTTGCCTTTCAATTTTTCGCTCAGTGTTTTTTGATGTCCAGACATATATAATGTGTGTGTATTTTGTTTTTTCTATAGCTTTTACTTCCTACCTTTGCTGTTTCACACTTTTGTCCCACTTCTCCCATTCTTCGCTTTTTCCAAATTCTTTCTTGCATTTTCGGTCACACAAAGTATGAGAATACACTCACATCCAATATTTAATTATTTCCCCAAGGTAGACAGTGACACACCTTATGACCTACACGCATATAATAGTCCCCACAGCCAGTTGCGAATGCGTCAGAATACTCCGACCGTCATATATTTTATTTGGGATGCAGAATTAATTTCAACTTCACCCACTGCGACGTGAATGAGTTCAAACTTTTATTGTTGATAACTCTAAAACAGTAGATTTTATCAAAATTTCTTTGTTATTTTCGAATTAAGCATGTACATTTACACCTAAATGGAACTATTCGGGAAATTTTTATTAGAAACTGAGCGCTGGGCTTGAACTGCAAATTAACCTTTTGAGGTTCCGGATTGAAATTAGTTCTGTCACTTTTTTATTTTATCTATATATTTTTTTTAACCACGCGGTTAAAAAGAAATAGATATCGAACTTGGATATCGGTCCGACGGCCGATCAACTACAAAAGCGTAACGAACGTAGAGAAATAGAATAAATCTTCACTTTTGTTAAGAACTGTTTTAATTGAATGCTTTGTTTTGTTTTCAGCTAAACAATAATAATACAACAACTTAGTACCAGTATTCTATGTGCCGCGTCCTTTCAGGGCATAAACGATCATGACTCCCCACAACATCCTATCTCGTGTCGCTCTTAGCAGTTTTTATCCCTTTGCTAAGTCCACCATCCTTCCGCTATCCAAGGTCAAAGCCTCAGTCCGCTAGGTGTTTCAGTTGTGGTTTCTATAACAAGTAGATTTTTACGGGATGGAGTTGCTAGCCCCACATCAAACCAGTGTTGAATTCAAAGTTTTTTTATTCTCGTAGACTGCTTGCCAACCAAATCCAGAGAACGTATTTTGGCCTGCTGCAAGAGCCGCATTGTGTGCAAATCCGTTGAAAGTAAAAACACCTTATATCTGATTCACTTATTTTGACTTAGAAACCTGAAAATCATGTCATCTCATTAGCCGAAAATCAGCCATTCAAATATTATTTCAAATTGTGTACACACAGAATTAGGCACAATGCCATTTTATGTTTTTACAATAATAGCATTAAAAAAGTAGCCATATTATTAGAACTATAATTTAGTGCATATTATGTAACTTAAACAAAAAGAAGACTATTAATTTAAAAAGTTTGGCTGAAGAGAAAATTAAACATAGGAAGGAAGGAAGGCAATTTTCTTTGACTAGAAAGAAAACAGAACAAAGACAATATTTATTGATTTTATTTGCTTGATGGTTTTATTTTATCATCATTATCATTGCTGCAGGAAGCATCGCGTGCTTTGTGGATAAATACGTGCATATCTTTTTTAGTATTTTAAATAAATAAATGCCATAATGAATTTGAAAATGTCTTTGTAATTTGTATGAAAAAAAGTTTAACAGTTGGTTATTGTTTTTCGGAATCCTTTTTTTTTTTTTTAAATAATTTTCTGTTTTTATTACAAATTGAACCCAGTGACATGAAATGGTTTCATTTGTGTCGGAATTTTTAAAATAAGGAACTATTATTATATGCTTTGCCATTCGGACCAGCAGGTTCATGGTAGTTATATTCACAACCTTTTGACCGTTGTACCTCTTCTTTGGGGACCTATCTTAGTACTTGGTAAGCGAATTGGAATTTTAAACCAAACCTTTTTTATTTAATCCACGGAGGCAAATAATCCTCATTTCACTTTTCACGCTGATGGAAATTTCAACATTAGTTTGTCTCGAGTGAATTAAAGCACCGGTTGAAAACATATCGGATAGTGACAATTGTGATTTCAATCCCTGGGTTTGGTAGTACTACATATGGTCTGGTTCAGTGGAAACGACAGAGAAGTGAATAAGACATGTGAGAACAATTTACCCGCGTCGAAATTCCAAAGATGGTTACCGGATACGAGGGATGTGCTGATGGTTTGGTGAATAGCGAGAAACCGGAAAGCCGAATTCGAATTCCAGTTGGGTTCGTTACATTCAATTACGCGCAAATACCCTTGGGAAGGGTATGAGTCCATCTTCCCCTCCCAGTTATGGGTTTAAATAGGACTTGCAAATGCGCAAGGAAAATAAGAGCATTATTTTTACAATCCAAAAATCTGCTCCGGCTTTAAATAATTCTAAAAGGGTTGATAAGCCATAAAAAAACAAATCAATCAATCATACAGAGTATGAAGAAAGACGCCTGAAAAGGGCTGGAGAGTACAGCATTATAACAAAATGAACAAACAAAATAACTATGAGAACAAGTACACAAGTTCAACGAGGGCTTAAACATTGTTAAGTTATTAGTAAACTGCGTAGGCAGAAACACAAAGTAGAAAAACAGAATCTGATATTGTCTTTTTGCATTAATGCCGGTGGTGAAGGCACGAATTCACCTACCTGTTGGTTAAATTGACAAAATAAAAAATGTCTCATCAGTGTTATGTTACGATGATTGACAAAGACAAGAGTGGGTGAGATAGTGAATGCTGAGGCAAATTACTCTCTCATAATTACTTTAACTGTTACACGCATTGCCAACCTTGAAGATTTCCAGACACATTGTGAATAGGTATTTTAATAGCGACAGCCACTAGTGGGATTCAAAAATGTTTAGCAAGCGGTTCTTTCTTACTTGCGTGGGGGTTACCCCACTTAACTTTGCTTAAAAAACCATCGCTAGGGGATGATTCTTAAGCCAATAAATAGGAAATGACATTCTCATTCACTGTCTCTTTCTGCTTTTTCTCCGAGACAATAAGATGTAGTTCGCACAACGTACAAATGTGTCCTCCCGATGTGAGACATTTGTACTTCGTGGAAACGCACGTTTACTTTACTTTCAATTACTTTTCTCTCAGTCTTTTACACAAGCTTTATACAAACACATTTTCTAGTTTAAATTTTTTCTTCTTTCATTTTCATTCACATGCAATAATCTTTTATCATCTATGTATACCTTTGTTTTGTTAATACCTACATTGCCGTTTGTTTGTATATAGTTTTGTTGTTATTTTTTTCATTTATAACCCGGACTCACATTCGATTCCGTAATAATTGTTGTGGAAAAAAATATACCAAGAGACATTTGTTTTCTGCCTAAACACGGCCAATCCTCCACAACACTTGGTATTCATTAATGTTTTGTCAATGGGATTAATAAGAAAAATATGTAACCAATAAATATTTCCTTATTTTGTCAAACAAAAATTGTATAAACAAACCTAACACAGCAAAAGATATATTACCCTGTTTTTAGCACGGGACAGTTGTAATAGTCTGATTCCAGAAAACAGCTGATTTTCGGTGAAAATTTGGTGAAATTAACAATAAATAAGAACTACTTAGGAACTGTCTCTTGCGAACCAGTTGGAATTCCACCAATGATATTTTTTAACACTTTAATGTGCGCGTGCGCATGTGTACGTGTAGATAAGTTTTTACATGGATACATACACATTTTTAAGAAATTGTTAAATTCTATGAATTTGTTACATGATATTATATTTGAATTAATGTTTTGGTATGTAATTCTTTTTCATTTTATAGGACATCCACGATTCCTGAACCAACTCTCTTCCGGTCTTGATATCATCGGCTTAGCTGGTGAATGGCTGATTGCTACAGTTAATACTAACATGTATGTCTTTTCTATAAAATACTTACAACCTTTACATAAGTAAATATTTACGATATTTATATTAGATATAAAGCTAAAATCGACTCAAAACTTCACCTACGTGTAATAAAATAATCCACATTTTATTAAAATTTGACTTTTCTCAATTTTAAATTTTATATTTAAAAAAGTACAAGTTTTTAATAAAAATTAATTTGCTAGCCTTAATTTGAAATTATAGTGTGAGTTATTGAGTGAAAAGTCAACTTTTGTCAGCAGTTAAGAGTTGATTTTATTTTTGGTGTTTTTTGCTTAATGGTCCTTCAACCACGAGGTTTATTTAAGACCAGATAAAAGTTTTGAATCGTAGTTGTTTTGGGTATAGCTTGGTGTTATATGTGGATCAGTGATAGTTTTGGGTACAGGTTAGTTGATGAAGGTTTTTCCTCTTTCTAATCAGTTATTAGAGATGCTGGCTTCTAATATTTTGTATTCAGTTTCTGAATGATAATTTCATTTTTAAATTTCCCAACTTCCGAAGCGCTTAAAATTACTAATTATTTGATTTTCTTTTCCAAATTAATTTATTTTATTACACAATTTTTAAATCATAATTTGATATTTTATAAAGATCACAGCCGCAGAATTTATTTATTTCTATATATTTTTATGTAGATAATGAGAAAATGTTCAATGTCAGTTGAAAAAAAAAATGGTTATAATTGAATTATGTTCGATTTGAAATTTATTTATTTGAGTATATTCGTTGAAGTGTACTATCTACTCAGACACACAAAAAGGATTTTTTCATATTTGATTTTACAATATGAGAGTGTTAAGTAAATGATAAAAAATAAACATGGCAAATATTCTGAGATTAAGCAGACAGATTAAAATAATGGCGGTGATTTAATTCAAACGAAAGGTAGAATATTTTCTTGAGTGATTGCCAATTCGAAGGAAGATTATTCTTTTGATGTATGGTAGATGTTACACTGTAGTTTGAATGTAGATCGCTAGAGAGCAAACACAGGTGATCCCATTTTAAATTAAGTAGATCACGTGACCATAGAGGAAACGCATATATGGGAATTAGAATGGCATCTAATTGATCATCATTTCTAGTCTATCCTCTATTACTATACGGATCGCTATTCTCTGTTTTCTTCTCCACACTATTCCCTATACTGATTACTACACGGATCACTATTCGGTGGTTACTTTTCGAGCGAGTATTATCGAGCAAGTACTATTAGTGTGAGTATTAGTAGTAGGCGTCTGACACCAGTATTGTTCAACGGCGTTATTATAATTGTATCTGCGATTACAAAGTCTCTACTACAACAAACATTACGAAAATGACAATGAGTATTCGTTGATATCGCAAAAGTAGATTATTAAGGTAAGAATAATATTACAGTTGAATGTGCCTGTCGACTGATTTTGAGGACTTCAAAGAAAATTAGTCATTTTAAGTGTCTGTTGCTTTGGAATGCATAAAACATACATTGGTTATATGTTACTTGTCAACTCTTGAAAAAAATCAAAGGAGTCTGAGTCAGCTAACTTTAAGAATATCTCTTAGGACAGCTGAAATATGGACGACCAAATATAATAAAATGTAATATCACTCACAATGCCAGAAAAATATTCATATTGTTAAAACGGTGCCGTATGACAGAAAACAATCTTACAAATAAAACAAAATAAACAAATTCTTATAAATTTATTTACATGCGGACTGTCACCCCCTTTGTTGTTATAACACTTCGGCTGTTGTGCCTTCCGGCATTCATCAAATACAAGGCCTATGAGCCATTCAAGGTAGAGAGTTACGACGCGAGGTTGTATGGATGTAAGAGGAGGAAGTAAGTGAAGATTATGAGGATATGTAGGGTAAATAATAGTTGACACTAGACTTGAAGAGGTTAATATTGTAGCGATCAAGTAAGCATTCTTTCGGGTGTCTGTTCGACAAAGTAGCGGTTCTTGGAAAGAAGCTCTTTGAGTGGAACTTCCTTACAAATGTAATGCGAAGGGAATGTAAATGATTCGACTGTGTACGTCGTATGGCGGATCCTTGCTGTAAAGGTCTGAACTAGTGGAACTAAATAATGTCCCTCGTCTGAACATTAGCGATGAAAACAACGATAGAGTAGCGGTAGGCTTGCCATATTTCGTCTGTGGGGGAAAAAGGGCTTTAGGGTTGAAAATAATTAATTGTCCTCTAGGGTTGCGTTAGCGCTGGAAAGTGAGGATTGGGCAGCTCCGGATGTTGCAACAATACTTCATTTTTGGTCTGATCTGACTTTAGTAAAGATGGAACAGAGTATTTTCTAGAGCGGCACAAGGAATCGAGCATTTTTCCTGCATCTGTAGCGATGGATTGTGCATACGAGTTCCACTTGAGATCTGGGGTGAAGTTGAGTCCCAACAGACATTCAAAGCAAGAAACCACATTGAGAGTAAAAGCCGTTCAGCATAACTGAAGAAAAATAAGTATCTGCTCGGTGGTGATACACGTTATTAACTTGGTTTTTAAGGCACTGAAGATTACAAGTCATCCTCCTCTCCTGCCATCGAGCTGTTAGAGCTTGATCAGAGGAGAAATCAGCAGACAAGATCTGATCTTCTTGATGTTTTGCAAGTGCACTCCTAAACCGTTGTATCATCTGCATAGATATTTACTAATGATCTGGGAATGTCCTGGACAGATCTTTAATATAAAATCGAATAACAGGGCAGATGAGAAAGCCTTGGGTACGTCTTCATTGATCCCATGGACTTTAGAACACATTAACGAAGACCTTCGTGGACTAGCTGATAGGACTTAATTGTAAAGACTTATCCAGATACGCCACGCTAAAAATAATTAGGCAGGTAGAAATAATAATATTTAAGATAAAACAAAGTATGACTTTTTTCAATTTTAAAATAATAGAAATTCCCTTTCCCATTATCAGGAAATTGCACAATATACAAATAGGTAATTCACCCATCTTTATGAATTAAATGAAAATGAATTCTTCTATGTGCAGAGTCCCTTCAGTATGTTGGCAATCATGGCTCTCCGTAATTACCCGTCCTTTGTAGTCCTTAATAAATTTGTTCTTTTTTGTTATCGCTCCTAAACCCTGTTTACTCAGGCTCGCTAACTGGGTTATGCACCATTTTTCTCTGTTCCTTTTGCCTTCAATATATCTTGTGGGCATCAACTCTTCCAAGTTCTCTTTCCTGATTATCTGGCCTAGAAATTTCAACTGTCACACTCTGATGCCAAGTATAAGAGGCCCTTTTTGGTTTCATTTTTTCTAAAACTTTGTCGTTGCCTACATGGTATTCTAGATATCTCTTCTTTATAACAATATTTCTGTTGTCTCAAGTCTTTTCTTCATCTGTGAGGAGATTATCCAACATTCATTGACATATAGGAAGACTGATATTGTGCAACAGTTCAGTACTTTTTTGTTTTGTTTCTAACGAAAATGTTCGGTTACTTAATTTGTTTAGCATCTTTCACTCTCCTAATTTGCCTTCGTACGGTGGAGTAATGGATAGCGGCTCGGGAGGGACGGTGGAGTAATAGATAGAGGCTCGGGAGGCACGGTTGAGTAATGGATAGCGACTAGGATTGAGGAATCGGAGAGCCGAGTTCGAATTCCAGTCGAATTCATTACATTCTTTTACGTGCTAATAGCCTTGGGAAAGGTATGTATCCTTCTTCTCTCCCAGCTATGGGTAAATAGCAAGACAGACCGGGTTCTGTAGCCTTGGATGGCAACTGGTCTACCGCAGAAAGAAATGGCAACCTGCTGCGGGAAGAAATCTGCCTCGTCAGTTGTGTATTGAAAGATACATGATTGTCTAAGCGTGTATCACGCATGGCACATAACTGACTGATTTCGGTGTCGCTCTTTCTGCCCTGCCAAACTTCCCAGGTATTTAAATTGTTGTACTTGCTTGATTTCGGTATCTTCAATTTGTATGTTGGACTGTACCTTTTGCTAACAACTATCAATTATGTCTTATTGCAACCTAGGTTTAGTCCTTTCTTTTTGCTTTCCTTCACTACTTTCTATAAGAGTTCTTTTAATTTCCTTTCTATACCTACTACCATCACTGTATCATCTGCGCATCTTGTGACCGCCAATAATGAATCCTAGTAGGACTCTCAGAAGTTTGAAAAAATGAATGTGTTTATAAGATTTCATAGGAACGCGAGCAGTAAATTAACTATTGCAATAAAAAAAACTCGACGTGTTCAATTTAATCACTATTATTTATTAAACTTATAGAATATGATTTTTTTCTAACCGAAATTAATCTTTATGCCTTCTGATTCAGACTTGTCTGTGAAAAGTGATGAAGAAGCATTTGATCTCGTGAAAAAAAAAAAGAGAGAAAGAAATCTTATGTAATCTGAACAGATAATTTATGTAAATGAAAGTGTCTGCTCTTAGCGAGATACACAATAACTATTATCGGTATTGATTAGGCTTAAGCAAAGATCGAACTCATAAGAGAGTAGTTGCATTCTAATAGACTAAGTTGCGATTAGCTCAAGGCAAATAAGCTGCTATAGATAAATACAAATTAACAGATAAGGCCAGAAAATAATGTTGTTATTATATAACTTCTATGACAAATTAGAAAAAAAAGTTATCGTATGACGCGTTTTGTCCTTTAGAATTTCATCGGACTAGAGTGATGTTTAGGTTGATGCGACTGCGCATGCGCACAATCAAGAGAGGATGCTGAGAAAGTTAAATTTAAAAACTTTTTTTCTACATCGCCATAGTTTTTGTTTTCCTAAGATTGTTCTTGTTATATAAAATTTTATATATCGTTTTCCCATTACTTATAACTTTATTTAATACACTGAATACTAAAAATATTGAATATTATTTACATTCGAACTAATATCCTCATCTTTGTTACTATCATAACATTTCAGCCGTTGTACCATCCGATCATCTTCCGAGTGTAACGCGAGCACTTTGAAGATTTTATTCTCCCATTTA